TTAGGTTCTTTGGAGTTCTGAATGTTCTCAAACAGCTTTGGCTTGAGTTGGAGTGACGTTAGACACATCATCCCACTAATGCTCTCATGGCTGACTTCAATCAAATCCTCACAGCTATGTTCTAACATCTAGTGTAAAGTCTTAAAGGAGAAGCAGTTACTGGAGTAAAATGAGAGCCAGCTCAATAATAATACAGTTAAATTAGAAGGGAATGTTGGATGAACAGGTGTCTGATCTGCTGTATTGCTCTAGTGTTCTATCCTAAAGTCATCGCTATAAACATGCCTGACGTACCTGCAACAATTCTCAATATGCTTTTAAGAGCGGCTAAGATTAGTGCATCGGCATCAATACAGAGAAATAAGACGGTTAAGAAGCTTAAAGCTTAAAGCCAAAAACAAAATCAGTGGCGTTAAGCTGATGCCTGGACTCCTAAAGCAGCCCTCCCTCACCTGTTTACACCATCAAAGAAGCTGTACTATCAACACAATGTCCCCCCCCAAGAGCCTACAATTATTACTGTAATTTTGCTGGGCTATTTGAAAGTAATCACTTAGATGAAGTACACTATTACCTAAAGGGCTCGCATCCTAGATTTCCATGTGTTTAATACTTTTCCTTGAGGTCCTTGTATAATATTTATGATTTTATGACCAAAAAACAGTCCTAATAAGTCCCTCATTTTTACATGACCAATTTCCAAACACTTTTTATCCTATAGAATTAAACAGATTGGGCCTTAAAGACTGACATATGTAAAAGACCTCTGTTCTGATTGGCTGCCTTAATCAAACAGTCCAGGCTGAAACACCCCTTTTTTGGGGGTTTTGTGACATCACAGAAACAATCCAAAACAGGCTGTTTTTTTGCAGCCTAGATTATACATATAGACCATATGGAGTGAAGAGTGAATGGCACATTTTGAAACTTTAACAATGTTTACACACTACATCAAACCAAAAAAGTGAGGAACACTGATTTTTTTGTGATACGGGCTCTTCAATCAATTACGAGTACATTTGATTTACACTGTATATTAGTAGGTTTGAGTACCTCTGAACATTTACAATTGTTTTAATGTCAAACGATGACAAAAAAAGTTTTTTGCTTACTTAATAGCACAAAGGTAGTATGAACTGAAGCTTCTATTAAAATCTGCATTTTCAACAGAATTTTTCTTCAGAATTTCTTCTTTCAATGAAGTATGAGTAAGAAGTAATTAATATACAATTAAAAAATGCTTTTGTTATCAGTGATAACTGCCTCTTTTAAGGGTTCCCTTGTTGACCAGAAGGGGCCCTGCTGAAGTGAAGGTGGTTAATTCTGGAACAGTACCATAAGAATAACTGATTCACATGAAATTACTACAACTTTCATCTACCGGTGAGCAATATGACGATATTTTATCGTTATTGTGATAAATTATGTCAAAATACTGTTTTTCATATTGTGGATATTGTCGGTACTTAAAGAACACTGACCAACTACATGTTTTATTATGAAGCGAGCAAAACTGGTCCTATTTAATTGGATTGAGTGCAGTGAAGTTTGTAAAATACTGAATAAAAATCATTGTAGTTGTATGATGATAATGATGATGATTATTATTACTACATTTTGTATACTGCACTACAGGTTCTATTTTGTCTGTTCCAACTTATGAAATATCAGAAAAACTAATATCGTCATGCATATCATGTATTGTGAAAGTGTCTTGAAGTATCGTGATATACTTTTGCCATATCACCCACCCCTACGTTCATCTATCAAAAACTAATAAACACTGATTGCTTCAAGGATATAATATGCATTAGAAAACAAAGTTAAAAGAAAATTTTGTGAAAAAGTGAAAAAACAGGAGTTCTCAACTGAAGTTGACAAAATTATTAAACGTTCTAGAGAAAACGAGACTCCTACCCACTGTGCTAGACCTGGTAGACCCCCAAAACCATCAGATAAACAGCACTTAGAGCTTTTTTCTTTAAGAGAGAGGAGAAAATCAAGCTCCACTGTTGCTTCAGACCTGAAAAAATCCACAGATGTTTCTGTCCATCCTTCCACTGTGAGCAGACAACTCAACACTATGAGTCTGAAAGGAAGCTGTCAAGAAGCTGTTACTGAGAAAAAAGAAAATAGACAGAAAACAAAGAAGCTGCTGATGTTCTCAGAACAATGGACTGACCACCCCAGAGTCCAGACCTCAAGTAGAAATGCAACCAACTTCTAAGACTGAACTTTGGAGGTGCTGAAAAACATCCCTGCCGATTTATTTGGAAAACTCAAAGCAAGCCTCTTGAAAATAATGGAAGCTGTAATAAAGCCATGTTTAATATAATAATAAAATCACAATTCTTCTAGCGGACTCCACAGACTAAAAACCAACACACTCATGTATCTGACATGACGACATGAATAGCACAAGAGAGTGAAGCTTTCAAATCCTCCAAAGTTGATAATGATAGTATGCAATGTGCTAAATGCTTTGTGGGTCATTTGAGGCTGAAACTGTAATAAGGCAGTATAAAATAATGCAGAGATCGTAAGAATATATGAGCTTTCAGAATGGTCCTACGAGGAACACAACGTTGTTATAACACCATTAACCTCTCAATGTTTGGAGCATTCATTGAAAAACATTACTTGTACCAGTGCTGAAGTATTTCCTCATTTAAAGTATGATCTTCTAAGAATAAGACTCACTAAACTATTCAAAGTACTACATACAATCACCTTAGATATTAATAACATTGACACACTGATGAATTTCGCAAGTATCTGCAAAGCTAATTCCAATGTTTATTTAATGCCTAAATAATTACATGAGTAAATGATTCTACACCTCACAGTCTTTGATAATGGTTCTCTGTATACTGAATGTCTCAGTAGCTTGGAATCATCTGAGCAGGCGCATGATTTACTCCTTTTTAACCAACACATTAAGTATTACCCAGCTGAAAAAAGGAAAGCTGTCTGAAAATGCATGCTTTTTTAAAAGCACTCAATGAAGCTGATCTCAATCGAGCCGAGATATTAAGCCTTTACAGTAATCATTTGGTCACATCATCTCATCACATCATCTCATGTGGCTAATATGACCCACAGTCATAGAAAAAGCTATGATTGCTACGGCTAAAAGCTATGATTGATATGACTGTACATTTCCATTATTGTGTTTTAATATAAAAGGGTTCTATTCAAAAGCCCTGAAGGTCTTCCTGCCCCTCCGTTCCCCTCTTTTATACCCTTATGGCATGTTTGACCTTGTGCTTCGAGATGGAGTTACATATTCAGCGCCTCATAGTAATGCCCTAATCTACCGCATGCATCGGCTATGGCGTCAGCTAAAAGCTCCAGGCAGTTCAGCTTGTTTTATGGTTGAACTCTGGGAAGTTCTGACCTCTAGATTTCTAGGCCTTAACTGGAAGGTCAATTTTTTTGTCATCAGCATTTCGCTGGACTTTGTTGATCAGCCAGTATGTTCTCACAAACATAAAGATTCCTAAGTGGATCATGGCTTGGATGTACTGTTTCTCATTTGGTATAGAACCTTTCTGTAGAGGTTCTTCAAACTTTAAAAAGGTTCTTTACAGTCATGCATCTCATTTACAAAATGGCTCTTTAAAGAATTATCCATTTAGGGAGGAGTTGTTCTATGATATCAGTGCAGAAAAAAGTAAGGGAGGTCAAACTAAATAGAGGAACATAACTGAACCACATACAGCCTGTTTTTAATTTAACATTGTAGAAAATACTGCATAACCATCTTTGGGATTCTTCCATTAAAATTCTTACAGGTTCTACAAAGTTCTACAAAGGTAGTGGTATGAACCTGGTATGGTGTGAACCTAAAACTTACAGCTTGTAAATTACAACTGATGTCTATAACAACAACTTTCTATGAAAATATACTGTAATATATTTCTTTTTTCTCAACTTACCTGTCTCAGTGTTTCAGAAGGTCGCCTATAAGGCACAACTGGTACAATTTTGCATAGCTGTAATTTTAGCTTTGTTATTTAAAAGAATGGTTCAGTGAAAAATCTAATTTACACTTTTCTCCACTTACCCCCAAATGTAGTCAGTCAAGATAGGTTTGGTGTCCACATTTGGCTTCTTTAGTTTTAAACTGGAAATATAAGGCTAATATTGCTAACAAACACTAGAAGTCAAGAGTCACCCAAATGTTTACTTCATATTCATAGTTCACAGTAAGTCATACTGTGTCCTAAACCACACTTACAAGTCTGTATGACCTTGAGTGACGAATGAAGACCTGGACGAGGTTTGAACAGGTCGAGAAGGTTTATCCGTGTATTTACTGAAAAGATTACGGTGACTATTGACTTCTAATGTTATCAGCAGCTCCAGCGCTAAACTAAAGAAGCAAAACTTGGACGTTCAACATGACTGAATGGCTGAATGACTACAGTGCCAAACTATTCCTTGAAGGCAGTAGATGGTTCAAGATGGACAACGTCCATTAAAATAAAGTGAACTGCAGGTATTAAGTGAAAACCAAGAGCAAACTGGAAATGGACATTTTTGAAATTCCTTTCAGGCAAATTCAGGAGTCAAATTCAGTGTTAATCACCTCTAATCTATAAGCTGATATACTGTAATGCATCAACATCCTACTGTAAAACGTGCTAATTCTGAGTGTCATATAAATAGCTAGCTATCCTAGCAAGTGATTGTTATTTCTTAAAGAAAGTTAGCTTGTTAATTAGTTTTCCTCCCATCAAAACTTCCACTGCAACTCAATTTTTATGTTTACGTGGTAGTTGGGCCTCCCAAAATGTCACTTGCATGATGACCCTTTTCGGAAAGAAAGCGTAAAGGGGCAGGGCAAGATAATAACATTCTCACGCCGAGAGAAGGGCAGAGCGACATGTGCCAGGAGGCGCAAAACGTCAAAAAAGAGTGTGAGGAGCTGCTAGAGCCACATAAAAAGGGCAGCGCCGACCCCGAGCGAATGCTGACAAGAAGGTTTGATATCTTACCCAGGGACCCCTTTGATCTTGCTGACTTCCACTGTGGCGATAGAGTGCTTGGCACCCGACTGCACCTCCCACTCTACTTTCCACTGGTTGCTCTTTGACTTTGTGTTGAGCAGATTCACCCCCTTCTTGGCTTTCACCCTGAAACGGAGAGAGAGAGGAAGTCAGTATCAGTTAAGTCTGAGCGTACAGGGTTAATCAGACATTTCCAGGAGGAATGAATAGACACATACAGATAGCCTGCAGTCATGACCCACTTCACTTTCTGCAGTGACACGGAACGCCAAGGATAAAAACAGCTGAAATACTGACTTCACTGTAAGCAAGAGCACTTCTGATGTACGTGAAGGCCTTTCTGATTTTGCATAACCGTGTTTTGCATGATCATGTCACCATTTCTGACAGTAACACCAAGCAATATATATATATATATATATAACACTCTAAAGGAAAACAGGGATTTTCATCCCGGCCTCACAGGGTTAAGACGAGTTGCATTTGTCCTGGATGGAAAAGAAGATTAATAAATAAAGAGCCTTTTGCAAATGCAGAGGTCACCACATTACAAAGTACTGTTAGATTTGCAAGGAAGTGGATTACACCATGTTATGCAACTGCATAACAATCTGAAAGATTTTTCTGACCTCAACTAACAAATAGTATCCGTACTCTTTCCAAGAGACTGACCATCACACAAATTCTTAATGTTTCAGCGAGTGCACAGATGTGTGCATCTGTGTTAATGTTTCAGAGAGGAACAATGAAGGTTGCTAAATAGTTCTTGGCTTGAATGTAGGGTTCTAACAAAAGCCTTCAATTAGAATAGAACCTTCACATTATGTACGGTACAGTCGGACAATACTGTCGAATAGACAGGAAATAATCCTGTGCAAATACAAAAAATTATAATAAGTTAAGAAAATGAGGAAAATAAGTTGACACACCCTCTGCTGAGAACACACGTCCGCACATTTTAACGCACAATTACTGTTTATTTGCTGAATTTAACATATTGGGAACAATTAAACATAAAATGTGGCCTGTGCAAAAGTTACAGCACATCTAATGTTATGTTTCTTTTTTCTCAGAAAATAAACAGTAATTGTGCACAACAACAGCAGAAAAATGCCACTTTCAAGTGTGTTCTCTGTAGGGACAGGAGTGTCCAATCTTATCCACAAAGGGCCGGTTTTCATTCCAGCAAAGCAGCAGCTCACATGATCAGCAGTGTAAAGACTGAACAAGTGGAATCAGGTGTGCTCCAGGCTGTTTCGAGTGAAGACCTGCAGCCATACTGGTCCTTTGTGGATAAGATTGGACAGCCCTGCTGTAGAGGATGTGTTCATTTCCTTTCACGTAGAAAATGAACAAAACGTGTCGTTTGTCTGGGAGTTTTTCTGCATTTAACAGTATATTTGTGAGCTCCTGCGGTTGTGGGTTTACCGTCTTTCTCAGTGATGCACAAAAATGCTATGTGAATGCTAATGCTAATATACATTGTGGAGAAAAAGAATTAACTGTCCAGTTCACAGAATGAACAGTAATGCTTTTACATGCTGCTTCTGATTTTTCAGATTTCTTTCACAGTTAAAATGACAAACCGTTCCACTTCCTTTTCTAGCACCAGTGCTACCTGCTCAAAAAGTTTAAGTCCAGCCCTGGTTCTCACTCGCTTCTCATTGACATAAATGTTTTTTTAAAGGAACAGCTCAAATACATGCTAAAGCTGCTAACAATGAATAATTTAGTAGCAATAATAATTATTAATAAGAATAGTAGTAAAGTACTAATTTAGAAGTTAGTAGTCCACCAGTTAGCATGATATCATCTGAGTAATGCTAAGCAGTGACTATTCACTTCCATTCACTGTTAGTGATATTAGCACTACTGACAAACATTCTTTAAATGAACCATTGAAAGGCTCTTTTAGGGAACCATATGAACAATCCCTTGGAGGGTTCTTTAGGGAACCATACAACCAATCCATTGGAAGGTTCTTCAGGGAACCAAACGGACAATCCCTTGGAGGGTTCTTTGGGGAACCATACAACCAATCCATTGGAAGATTCTTTAGGGAACCAAACAGACAATCCATTAAAAGATTCTTTAGGGAACCAAACGGACAATCCCTTGGAGGGTTCTTTGGGGAACCATACAACCAATCCCTTGGAAGGTTCTTTATAGAATCATACGAACAATCCATTGGAAGGTTCTTTAGGGAACCAAACGGACAATCCCTTGGAAGGTTCTTTATAGAACCATACAACCAATCCACTGGAAGATTCTTTAGGGAACCAAATGGACAAGCCATTCAAAGGTTCTTTAGTGAACAAAAAGTAGTTCTATGGCAAAGAACCCTTTTGGGCACCTTTCTTTTTTAGAGTGCATGTATTTGGTTTGTGGCATTCTGGTGGAGCCAACAATGAATTGTGCCCTGGAGCAGATTAACCAGTGAATATGAGGTCTTGTATTATGAAGTTGAAGGGCTGCTGGAATAGACAGATAGAGACAGAGCGGTCCACACACAGATACCAATATATACACACAGAAAGTGAAAAGGCTTTGCTGATATACACAGTGGTCCTCCCCCACACACACAAAATAAAACCCTGCACCAGCTTTTCTGCCGTGATAAAATAAATAAAAAAAAAAAACACGCATAGAAAAAGCCACGCAAACAGCTTCAGTGAAGACACTACAATTATTTATTCATGTCACAGACGCTTTCTGCCAAGGCAGGCCTTTATTAAGGGCCGCAGTGGAGAGACTGACTACTAAACAGGAACAGCTCTTCTACAGCTCGCCCAAAACCTTCAGGGCCCAATTTACCAAAAGAAGCGCGCACGGGCTCAGGGATGACGCAGAACGATTGCTATACAAAGCACAAACGCGTCCACTTTAACCTCGAGCCTACATGGGCAATATGCTCTAAACTGTTACGAAATGTATTCATATTTTATGTAATTAATCGGGTGCAGTGCGTTTACAGTCTGTCAATCTGAGGAACTGTATTCACGCTGTCTCAGTGGATGTTAGCAATATCCAAATCAGCTCTTTTCAAAGAACTATCCAGAAATCAAAAAGCACTCAGACCTGAGACACTCATAACTTCTGTATGAATGGGCGTGGCTAAACTGCTGTAGGCTGAACACATGGATGTATGTAAATGAATTGGTTCTTATGACATCAGAGAAACAACTAGAAAGGGAAAGTTGGCTCGAGAAAGACAGCTAATGCTTTAAAAGTGAAAGCAGTTGCAGAACACTTTTGATAATCTAATTGGGTTTATATAATAATTCCAGGTAGCTGCTATGGTGTTGCTATGAGGTTGCTATGGTGTTCCAGTGTGTTGTTAGGGTGCTGCTTGGTGGATGTCCTGGGTTTGCTAAGGTGTTGGTAGGCTGTTATGCAATCCCTGGTGGTTGCTGAGGTGTTGGTAGGCTGTTGTTATGGTATCCCAGGTGGTTGCTAAGGTTTCACTAGGATACTTGCATGATGGTGACATGAGAGGAGTGTCTAAAAACAATTGTCTACAGAGTGTATACTGACTGTAGTTGAATAAGATTATAAGATTATGTAAGTGGAATGACTCAGTTTCAGGATTTCCCCCATTCATTCCTATGGACACTGGGCCTCATTCACCATCGTCTTCCTAAGGTTGTTCTTAAATATGTTCGTGAGAAAGGTCCTAAGAAAAAGTCTACATCAGATTCATGACGTGTTCTTAAAGCACAGAACTGTTTGCATCTTTGTGCTCTTGAGTGTGTGTAGATTCAGTTTTTACCTAAGAACAAATCCCACATAATAAAAAACTGGTGAATGTCAGAATCTCTGAAATTTCTTCTTAAGAACGATGGATGAACGAGGCCCATTGCACAGACACCGTAATTCGAATTAGTTTAAAAAACATGAGCAACCTATTTGAATATAGGCTCTATGATCCTGCAAAGTTTTGTAGTTTTAGCTTGAAAGCTGTAGGAGGAGCGGCGCTGCATATTTTTGACTCTAAAATAATAATAAGAAAAAAACAAACAGCAGTAAATTGGCTTTTTCAAGCCAAATTAATGAATTGAAAACAGGCTGTTTGTGCAGCTTAGTCTCCATCTTTGGACTGTACGAACTGGGAAGACACTTTAACAATGTTTACAAACTTTAAACTCATTTACTAAATTTGGTTTTCCATAAAATGGGCCCTTTAATGGACTGTAAAAGAAAGCAGTACCGAACAGCCTCTTTGAATTCGCTTACATTTTCTCTCTTGTAGCTGAGCTGGCTTTCTGTCGTGAGTTTGTGCTTGGAATATGGAAATATACACCTGCATTCGAGAGGCATTTGTTAACCCACGACGTTGTTAAAGATTAAAGGATGCTGCTCACCGGACGAGAAGCGCTGTGCTGTGCGGCGCAGCAGACAGAACAAAGCGCAGCTACAGCACAGGGAGTGCGAAAACTCAAAGACTTGGTAAGGCTGATCCTGGATCAGGACAGGAAGGGTGACGTACACCAGCTGTGATGCTCCGAGGCAGGTGGTTAACACCTTTAAAGAGGTGTTTGATTACAGGGACGCTTGGCTGCGGTTGACATGCTGAACGAGGCGTGCACTTTTTCTTTTCACTTTTTTCACCTGCAGATCACTGACAAGCTATCAGGGCGATCAGCTCAGGCTCTCTGATAACGGTCTGGCTTATCAGCGTGAGTAAACAGCTCTGAGATCTCCCAGCAGTGCTGAGTTGTAACATTGTGGGAAGGGGGAGCGAGAGAGAGAGAGAGAGAGAGAGAGAGATAGAGAGAGAGAGAGAGAGAGAGAGAGAGAGAGAGAGAGAGAGAGAGAGAGAGAGAGAGAGAGAGATTAGATGGCAATCAGATGGCAATCGGATATCAGTGTAGGCATCTACAGCTGCTAGTGTTTCCTGTGTGATGGAACTTGTGTGCTTTGAATGGAAAATGAAAGTATTTAAAGGAGAATTCCACCAATTTGTTAAAAAATTCAGCATAATTCAGTGGTGGAGATGCAAACAAAGTCACTCAGAGTGGTCTGGTGTGAAATGGTTCATTGCAGAGTAGCGTACAGACTCATTTCTTTACAGTGGTGGTAATGGGAACCAGGGGTCGTCACGTCTACAGCACAAATATAGCTGTAAA